TAAAGAAGATCTGTAAAGTTGCAAAGACTATTTCTCCGACCACAAATGCAGACCTGGTTTTATGTTTACGCAGCGCGATGCAACACAATGCGTAAAAAGACAGTATAAGTCATTATAATCCGTAATTATGTCCCCACTGGATGAAACAAATGCCTAGTTTATAATGGGTTTTAATGGCCTGACTTGCTGCCTCGCTGCCTTATGAGGCAATGACTTTGCAGGCAGCGTTTTTGCACGAAGGCACCTCATGAAACTGATTTCGGACAGACTTCTGAGGCAGTGTAACGGTTTAATGAGCTTTTATTCTCGCTGTAGTATTGTTGTTGCCGCTGCCATGTGAAGAGACTGTGTGTTTCGTTGTGAAAGCGAAACTACTTTGTTTGGTCTTCCAAAAGAGGACTTACACACAAACTGACCACCAAACGCAACTTTCAGACGCCATCTTTATTTTTTTAGCTCAACCGTCACGGAATGGAATGCACAAGATTGTGGGATATCAAAGTTAGCGAAGGATACATCTATGCTACACCAGACATGATTAGGCTAAATATGGTGCTGTAGCCTACATTTAAAATGAATACATCATTTTATTTAGATAACATATAGTCTCTATTCCGTTCTATTTCATGTTGTTTTGCCAAAACAACACTCAATGATAAAAGGAATAGTATAGAGACGCATATTTCCAAAACAGAAAAAGGTTACAAATAACGCATTCATTAATTATTTTATGACACAACTGTTGTTAGGTCTTAAGTAAACACATTTATAGTTGTAAAGTAAAACAACAACAACAATAATAATAATAATAAACAATGAACCAGATGAGCAAGATCACATAATTCTTATTAAATCGTTGTCTATTCCACTCTGAACCCGCTACAATTGATAGAGACTGTTGCATATTTCATTCAAATATTATGTTTTAAGCAACTGTCAGAAGAGTTAGTGTATCAGTGCAGTGTCATATTTAACGTAACATTGAGACAGGCATGAACAAGAGGTTCATTCATCTTGTTCAATGTAGGCCCAATACTTCAAGAACTGGACAACATATTATATAAAAATAATGCTAATAATAATAATAATAAGTTATTAGCATATTACAGTGTGTATCATGTCATATTTTACTCACCCATTTGGTCCCATTGGTCAAGAAAATCCGAGCCGAATTAGGCAGAGAGTGCAAATACAGTTCGGCTTATCATATGAGAACGTGTCGGTGTACATAATAATACAGCAAAATTTACATTAAAAAAACAATAGCATTGCACCCGCCTTTAATCAAGGAGAAACGCCAGCACAAAGTTGGGCACACAGCATAACGACTCATTCTGCATTATAGCCATGTAAATGGAATGATTAAAAAAAAAAAAGTCCAGCAAAACTTTCAAACTTTGTTTGACACATTATTATCTGTTTTTACCTAATTTTGTAGTAACTGTACACAAAAGCTAATACTTACAAAAAGGTTTTATTTTTCATTTTGGTTGTATGTTTTTATTTGAAGCATTAGAAGAAAGTGTAATGAAACCAGAAGTAAACATATGAAATAGCGACATTAGGTTATTTTTTTATGTTCATGACAATGATAAAATAATTGATAGCTAAATGAATGTCTTGTTAATTTTTTCCTTTAATTATCCGAAGGACCTGGTGGCCAATAAAAAATAAATAGGTTGAAACTACTTTTTTAAACAATAAAAAAAAAAAAAAAAATCAGACATATATTATTTTTATGTTTCATTGACTAAACTAATAAATAACGGAGGAGCCGTTTCTGTGAGTGGATGTTCTTCCGCCATCGTTGGCCAATGCTGACGCTAAAAAGAGGATTATGGGAAAATCAGATCTCATTAATATTCATGAACTCATTACCATAGCTATTGTTACCTGTAAAAATGGCATTTCTACATATCTGTAAAAGTATTTTTACTAGTTAAAATGTTATTTAAGATATCAGTAATTCTATTTTCACTAGTTGCAAGGGCAATTTCAGATATCAACTGCCTTTGTTGATATCAATAATTACCTTGTTACTAGTAAAAATGTGAATTCTTGATATCAACAATTCAGTTGTTACTAGTTGAAATGTTAATTATTGATATCTGTAAATATATTTCAACATGTTACATTTGTTATTTCTGAATTAACATTGTCACTAGTGGCAATTTAATTATTGATATCAAAAATTTACATTTTTACTAGTAGCAATTGAATTGTTGATATCAAGAATAGACATATGTACTAGTAACCACATGATTACTGATATCAAAAATAAAGGTTTTTACTAGTAAGAATTGTATTTCTGATATGTGAAATTGAGATTTCAACTAGTAAGAAATAAATTCTTGATATCAACAATTGATTTTGAATGGCAGCCTATGGTGACATTTAACTAGTGAAAATACAATTGCATATATCAAGAATGATAATTTTTACTAGTTTAAATTTAATTCCTGATATCAAGAATTAGCATTTTAACTAGTGAAAATTGAATTGTTGATATCAAGAATTAACATTTTTACTAGTGAAAATTTAATTGTTGATATAAAAAAATTACAATTGTTACTAGTAGAAATCTAATTCCTGATATCAAGAATTAGCATTTTAACTAGTTGGTGATATCAAGAATTTATATCCTGCGAATGAATAAAAGTCGAAACGGCTTGCCTATTGCCATTCCCAGGATATAAATTCTTGATATCAAGAATAATGTGTTTTACTAGTTGAAATTTAATTGTTGATATCAAGAATTCGATGTCTGGGAGTGATGACGTCATTGTTGATATCAAGAATTAACATTGTTACTAGTGGAAATGTAGTTGCTGATATCAAAAATAGCAATTGTTACTAGTAGAAATCTAATTCCTGATATCAAGAATTAACATTTTAACTAGTAAAAATTGAATTGTTGATATCAAGAATTCATATCCTGAGAATGAATAAAAGTCAAAACGGCTTGCCATACATTTTAACTAGTAAAAATGTAATTGTTGATATCAAGAATTCAAAAGTCAAAACGTCTTGCCATACAGGCTGAGGTTTTCATGATGTTATCAGGTGTGTGATGCAGTGCTGAGATTACCTTCCCTCTAGTCCAGGGGTGGCGAACTCCGCCAGTCCTGGAGAGCCGCAGCCCTGCAGAGTTTTGCTTCAACCCTAATCAAACACACCTGAACAAGCTAATCAAGGTCTGAACGGTTACTAGGAAGCTACAGGCAGGTGAGTTTTAATTAGGGTTGGAGCTGAACTCTGCAGGGCTGCGGCTCTCCAGGACTGGAGTTCGCCACCCCTGCTCTAGTCTGTGGCATGTGCCTCATATAAACAGCTCCTGTTCCCAGTGCCTTCCTGTAGGGAGCAGTGTCCCCCCTGCCCCTTCTAAGAGCATCTATGACTGTGTTACACTACTAAAAACATACAGTTTCATATTTTCCATAATCGTGTCAGAAATGCATTATGTATTACTAGACTGGTTTGAAAGTCAGAGGGATTGATGAGTCACTATATAAAGTCATATATAGTCATATTTAGTTAGTGGGTGTTAGATTTGAGTGTTAGTTGCTCTTTTTTTTTTTCCATTTCGTGCCAAATATAGCCAGTGAATATGCCATGCAGTCTGTGTTTGCAAGGATGTTCTATTCATGGGGAAGGAAAGAAGAAGAAAAGATTGGCAGGCGCCAATACAGTAGAGAGTGTACAAGAGAGAGAGAGAGTCAGTTGGCCAAATGATAGCTGCAGTCAGGATGTGGTGTTATACTAACCTACAATCAAGACCTAAATAGTCATTTGAATATTTATGGTTATTTTTGTGCTTATGTTTGCAAACACATATCATTATCAAAGATAATACTGTAGAAATCATACAAGTAGATAGATAGATAGATAGATAAAATTGACCATATTTGACATAGTTTTATACATATATATTGCTGCCTTTATGTTTTAGTTTTTCCACATGGTAATCATCATAAATAATAATAAAAATTAGTTCAAAAAAATCTGTTGTTGTATTGTGGTATGTATTGTTAAAATGATCATATTCAAATTGTATGTCTTTAAAAAGATGATTTTTTTTACTTAATCACAAATGGTTTAATTGGGTTGAAAATGGTTTAAAAAAATGGCTTTCATAACTAAATTCTGTTTTTTTTTTCTTCAAAAAGTCAAAAATTGACCATATTTACGGCTCCTATTGTGTACATTTTATCCAAAAAATGTCTTTGTGATTTTTTTTTTTACTCAATCATAAATGGTTTAAATGGCTTGGAAATTGTAAAAAAGGCTTTCATATCTACATTCAAATTTGTTTTTTGCCATTTAAAAGTCAAAATTGACCATATTTACTGCTCTTATTCTGTACATTTTATCCAAAAAGTCTGTGATTTCAAATGGTTTAAATAGCTTTGAAATTGTAAAAAAAGGCTTTCATGACTAAATTATATATACAGTGGGTACGGAAAGTATTCAGACCCCCTTAAATTTTTCTGCTCCTGTTGTGTACATTTCATCCAAAAATTGTCTTAGTGATTTTTTTTGTTGTTGAAATGGTTGAAATGACATGGAAATTGTTAAAAAAAGCTTTCATGACTAAATTTGGACCCCCCCCCATATTTATTGCTGTTAATGTGTACATTTCATCTTTGTGATTAAAATGTAACTTGTCTGCTTTTGAAATGACTTTCCTTTTTTCAGTCACCAAGCCCTCTTATTTTTCATCCCCTCCCGTCACGTATCCCATCCTGTATGTTTTTTTTCTTATTAAATATCCTGTTTCAGTCAGAAATAAGTCACATTATACACATAAAATGGATTGCGAACACCATTTCATGTTGCCTTTAAGAGGAATAGTGTAGTTAAAAGTGTGCATAATATCAGACAACAAATAACGAATTAAACCCCACTGTGACAGATTCATGTCGCTGAAATTATAATTATTGATGTGTTTGTTTTTCCATTTGTCTCCGCTTTTCTCCTCTCCTCTTCTATCCTGTGGCTAGGTGCCGGGGGGCTGCACATGTCGTCAGCTCTGGTTTGCATTATGCAGGTCTTACTGCAGGGAGTTTGATTAATGGCTGGAGTCAGAGGGGACAGACACAGGAGCTCAGAGGGAGTTGCACACAACAGCATTCTGCACACAGCACCACAATACAGCACTACGTGTGAGTGGCTTTAACCATCAGCACTACATTTTTCAGCCCTGTTTTTTATGCATGCACAGGAACAGAAGTGAAACCTAGAGTTCTTGGATGAATTAAATATGATATATTATATATTATTATATATTATAATCAAATGCCCTACAGCTCCAGTGCACAGGATCACAGTGTGGTTTCCTGGGCTGCAAACAGGAGGTCACTGAGAGCGAACTAGAGGAGACGTCTGAGCCAGATGATGTCAGCTTACACTCATCCTCACACACACACACAATCATGAAGTCACGCACACTCCACCCACGTTATGCGTGATCAGTTGCAGGATATGACAATGCTGCCGGTGGATATTAATACCCCTTTAGCTCATCTGAATGCAGCCGGCACGCTGGAGAAAATATCTGACAGGTGCTATTTTTAGATCTGCAGGCAAGCACACAGGGATCCACTAGAGCTCAATACCGGCTATTTTGGAGTGCAGCACTCACAGAAATAGCAACGGCATATTGAATCCAGAGGAGAGGGACAAAGAAACCTGGCTATGGATGTGCGCTCTCTATTTATAGCGCAACGGCAGCAATTAACGCTGCAGAGAACATGAGAGTACAAACCACAAATACTGCAGACACTCAGGCGCTTATGTTTATCCTACTCTGGCGTAAGACACGGTCTGCTTGTGGTATCTGATTTGGGATCAGCTGTCTTCATCAGCCTGTGTCCAAAACAAGCGTAGGACAAAGAACTTACTTGATCTGGATAGTTTTATAAACTGCAGCTCTCAAGTCTTAGCCACAATCCAAAAATGTCTTTAGAGGGATAGTTTGCCAAAAAATATTAATTCTGTCACGATTTACTCACTCTTAAGTTGTACCACACCCATGCAACTGACTTGCTTCTGTGGAACTCTAGAAGAGAATTTCTAAGGAATACCCTGGCCACTCTCTTGTGTATAATGAAAGTGAATGAGAAGTGGGGCTGTCAAACTCTAAAAAGCACAATAAAAGTCCACATAAGTTGTGTGTTGTATTCAGAGTCTTCTGAAGTGTTGTCATAGCTTTGTGTTAGAAAAACTTGGTATCCATTCTAGTTGTCTGAACGAGTTGTACTTTTGATTTGGATCTTTTCAGCGATTTGGTTCATTTAGTTCACAACACCAGCCCGAATGGTTTGTTCTCTGATCAAACTGATCCAGCTTTCAAGTTCAACTCACCGAACTGGTCAGTTCTGAACAGTTAAAGGCATAGTTCACCCAAAAGTGAAAGTTCTGTCATTAATTACTCACCCTCATGTCGTTCCAAACCTGTAAGATCTTCATTTATCTTCATAACACAAATTAAGATATTTTTGATGAAATCTAAGAGCTTTCTGACGCTGCATCGACAGCAGTGCAACGGAGATGTTCAAGGCAAAGAAAGGTAGTAAGGACATGGATAAAATAGACTTCATACAACAATCCTTCTCTTCCGTGTCAGTCTTTGACACATGTTCATGAGAGTCTAGTCCCCATTCACTGTAACTGCACATAAAAAGTACAGTACATTATTACAAATGCATCTTTTTGTGTCTCACAGAAGAAAGTAAGTCTTACAGATTTGGAACTAAATGAGGGCGAGTAAATGATGACAGAATTTTCATTTTGGGGTTGGCAGATGAATTTAGAAATTGCCTACCATTTCTTACTGGCCTAAAAACTCTGCATTATTTTGCATTTAAACTATTATTCATCTTTAATAGAGTGGAATTTGCCTAGATGAGCTATTTGTGACAAACAGACCACTAGGAGCATGATACCCAAGATATGATCAGTTTCTCTGTTTAACTGTACCTTCTGCAAAAATATGAAGGCGCTTTGTGGTTTTGTTTCTCATATTTTCATTTTAGTGACTTACTGATATGAATATTTGTCACCACATGAGGTTCTGGAAGAAAAGATAAAACTTTGATTTTGAATCTTTACTTTAAACAGCTGTTTTAGTAGACCGTTTATATTTTATTAATTTGAATTCAGTTGTGTTTTACGCTAAAGTTCAAATGTTTGGGGTCTAAGATTTTTTTAATGTTTTTGAAAATGGTCTTATTCTCACCGCATTTACTGATCAAATATACAGTAAAAACTGTAATATGTTGAAATATTATAATTTTATTATATTGTAAGATGTCATTTATTCCCATCATGGCAAAGCTGAATTGTCAGCAGCCATTACTCCAGTCTTCAGTGCAATATGGTTTTTATTATCATCCATGCTAAAAAAAGTTGTGCCATTTCATATTTTTGTGGAAACTATGATAAAATTTTTTCAGGATTCTTTGATGAACAGAAAGCTCAACAGAACAGCATTTATTTGAAATAAAAATCTTTTGTAACTTTATAAATGTCTTTGCTATCACTGCATCCTTGCTAAATAAAAGTATTTATTTCTTTCCAAAAAAAAATAAAAAATAAAAAAACACGCCAAAAAACTTACTGACCCCAAAATATTGCATTTGGTTGCTAGTCTAGTGTTCCTTTTGAACCTTGAATACTCGTATGTTTCAAAATAACTAATTAAATAACCAAGTATGCTTGTCCAGTCATGTCCATTTTGAGATGTCTTTGGAGTCTGGAATCTGAACCACATCAGCAAGCAAACAGGAAGTGTAAAGGTCGACCTTGAGCTTGGTTTTAGGTGCCCACTTTGTCTCAGTGTTTCTAATGATTCAAAGTGGTATGAATTACCTCAAGCTGAGCTTTTTTATGCCGTCCCATTTCACCTCCCCCCGCCGTGTGAGGGATCAGCAGACACAGCCACTGAAGAGCAAGAGCAGCAGTGATCCTCTTCTTCAGCGAAAGGCCTCCGATGTGGGGAATGTTCATTTGGATCCATTCATCAAAGCTGACATTCCAATAAGAGGTCCCTGTGATGGGATCCAAACTCACTCCTACCTTGTGAATGCAATTTTCCCCTTCATATGCTCTAGGACAGCAAAGGGGAGTTAGACTGGGAGTGAGGCTAGCTTAATCGCTCAGCATGCAGAATTGACAGTGCCTATAGATTTCTTTATGGAGAGCTGTTTTGGCAGCCCCTGTGTCGTTAAGGCACATTCATACCTGCCATCAATAATCTAATGCGACAATTAGCTGAAGATGGATGTGACAGGTTCCTCAATACTGACAAACACAGCAGTTCTGTGTCCATTGACAAGGTCAGTCACTCCTGTCCTCTGGAATCAGAAGTGAAAGGTGCGCATGTCCTCCGGCATCTAAACAACATGTGAAGATCAGTCCGGACTGACAGCAAAGCAGATGAGTCACGTTCGTCCTTTGAGTTTATGAGACATGACTGGAGTAGACTGAAGGTGAGCCGGGTTAACCTGTATTGAGAACTCACTGTTGCGTCCAAACCTTTAAAGGGATAGTTCACCCAAAAATTTAAATTCTGTCATTATTTTTCATCCTTATCAATATCATCAAGCTCTCCTTGTCACATTTATGAGTAGTGTCCGAATCATGAACAAATCATGAGTCAGTTTGAGTCTGAATGTTTCAATTAATAGGTTGGTCCAGTTCTCAAAAATTATTGTTCACAGTTCACAGTCGAGGTCCAGTTCTTTGGTTCAGTTTGTTAACTCAGTGATTCAGTCCCACTGACTCAAGGGTTAGTTCACCCAAAAATAAAAATTCTGTCATTAATTACTCACCCTCATATCGTTCTAAACCCCTAAGATCTCCGTTCGTCTTCAACACAAATTAAGATATTTTTAATGTATTCTGAGAGCTCTCTGATCCTCCCATATACAGCAATGTAATTACCCTGATCAAGGTCCAGAAACGTAGCAAGGAGATCGGTAAAATAATCCATGTGACATCAGGGGTTCAACCGTAATTTTACGAAGCTACGAGAATACGTTTTGTATGCAAAGAAAACAAAAATAACGACTTTACTCAACAATTCTCAACAAAACGTCTCCTCCGCGTCACCCTGGTGCCATTTTGGAGAGTATTCACTGAACGCAAACAGCGTATGCTATTCTGTGTGAGCTGCGTCTGACTGGTTTGGCTTCAACTCACTGCTTCACTCACACTTGCTGACTCTAATTCAGATCACTGACTCTGATTTGTTCACATTGACTAGAATTCAACTCACTGACTCCAGGAATCAGTCTCACTGATTTGGGTTTAATTTACCGACTCAATAGGTTGCAGCTGTTAACAACTCATTGCAGTGGAAGACTATCAGCAAATCTGTCTGTTCCTTAAACAAATCTATTGAATGGGATTAAAAGACATGAAATATAGCACAAGTCGTATGGACTATTTGAAATACATTTATGGTAGCACCATTTTTGAAGCTTGAAACCTCTTGAGTAATTGTAAATGCATGATCTTTGATCACTAAATGAGTTACAATTTCATTTTTGGTTGAACTAGTGAACCTTTATCACCCAGAACACCTTGTCAATCAATCCCTTTATTTTCTTACCAACCCTGAGTTCATGATAAGGTCAACCTCACAGGTGCTTCAAATTGATTCCCTGTTCTCTATAAGGCAGGGTCTTTCTTCGACCACTGGATGATGTCATAACAAACTAAGGCTCATGCTCATATCTGGAGTGAATCATATTATGAGTTATATTTTGCCCCATGCTAATTCGGGATGCTTATTAAAGATCTTCTAAAAATACCCCTTCAGTGTACCCTGGTGACTGTATTTGCAAACATGTCCTTATATACCACGGCCTACAGCTCTAAAAGTGGATGGCCCCATGCTTCCAGTGGCCTTGGGTGAAATTCGTCTCTACATCGTGGGCCAATAAGGGCCCCCGGGCTTTGAAATAGCCACAGTCACCCTGCTGGGCTCTCAAGTGGCTGTACAGAAGATCCGATGGGATTTCCTGAGCCACATGTGTCTTTGAAACCTAAGCCAAGTGTGAGCGCTGCACTGTTCCCTGACGCCGGAGCTACTGCAAGTGCATTTCCCCTCAGCTGGGGCACTAGCGGCCTCTTATACCAGTTATGGTTGCAGACGCTAAGAGAATTCTATCAATAAATAATGCGGAGCGGAGATACACATTCAGCACGTCATTCATTATGAATTAAATAGCCACGTGTGAGCCACTAGCTTACAAAAATCTGACACTTGCTGACGAGCTCGAATGATGATGGATGATTTTGAACTCCATCACATTCACTGCTTGTCTCGCTTTTAAGTCTTATGAAACCTTACATGCAGAATTGCGCATTTTCATTCATCATTCATTTGAGCAGTGACGTGTCATTTGACATGCTTAAACTTCTTATAACAACACCGCCTACAGTAGTAGGCCTACTTGCTGGTGATGAAATGTAATATGAATGTGCGTTTAGCAATAAATTGTAAGTGCCATCACTCTGCATTTCTGCTGCATTTATGAATTAGCAACATGAACTGGATGCAGATCAAGAAATTGAATCAAGAAACTAGTATATAGTTTTTGACATCCATGGCAGATAATGCATATATATATATTTAAATAAAAAAATATAAATTAAAAATCTATATAGATACTTTTTATTTTACTTTTTTATTTTTATTGTGTGTGTCCACATACTGTATATATATATATATATATATATATATATATATTATACAAACGCATGCGTGTCTGTCTGTGTGTCTGAGCATGTGGAGAGATGTGAGATGTGACCATGTTCCCACCGTGTTCTCCAGCCTGTCTGCTCACCTGGCCGTTGCCATGGGAACAGTCAGACAGCCGCAGACTTTGCACCGATGTGCTCAGAGGATTCACAGAACAGGTCTCTGAGCGCCCGACTCTCCGGAACACGCTGCTACCCTCCAGCAGACAGTGTTCGCTCTGTCTTAACGTCTCACTGGCTCTGATTGTAAATAGTAAATAGTAAAATTCCATCAAATTGAATTGAGTAATCATTACATATTTTAATTGAATAATTGAACAATCCTTAATCAATTATTAAATTCAATTTGATGGAATTTTACTATTAATTAAATTGCATAAATCTTAAAAAA